CAGAGTTGTTTAGCTTTTCTTCCTTCTTGTACGGATATGCTGGAGTGTGAGGCACAAAAACAAATCAGAAATAAGTGCAGTAGTTTGAAATGAAGCTGCAGCTTAGCGCATGGAATCAGATCAAGCTCTTTTTGTTCTTGTAGAAAGTGCAGCTTCTTGGCCTCACAGTAAAGAGGGTGTATGAATCTTCCATGATTTCCACAGAAACTATAGTGTGCCAGATACACTAGCATTTGGAGAGGATGGAAGGTTTTAGTATGGAGCTAAGATACTGACTTGATTTTCATTTCTGCATTTACAGACTGGTAGAAGCAGGAGTAGAATGATTTTTGGGCACATCCCTTCATATACTTACATCTCCATTTATCTGTGTGTAGCCTGGTTGTGATCAGCAAGAAGAAACTTTTATGATATTAAATAGTTAGGAGAAAGCTGGGTATTAATCTACAGTCATTTAAGTTATTAAAATCTTCAAAAGCTTTTGTTTTGATGGGTCACTTTTGTTTAAACAAAAAATAACAGGCAAATGGGGAATGTATACTACTATTCCCAGCTGTTATGGGAGATAACTTCCTACTGCACAGTGCAGATACAGATTCAGTGTACAGCACACTGGATTGCAGTGTATATATTTCTTGCAGACAAGGCAACACAATCTTGTAAAAGCACAGAGATAATAGACTGAATAACTGGCTGGGTTATTCTTTCTTTAGAAAGTACTTTGTGGACTTACTCTCTCAGGAGGCTACTTGAAATTTGTGTGCAGCAATGAAGCCATGCCAAATTCAAGAACTCAGGAGAAAGCTTTACAAATCTTTTCTCCCAACCCCTGCAACAAGTTATACATTTCACAATAAGCAGCCACTCATTTCTTTACAATAAAGCAATGTTTAAAATGCTATGAAATTCAAGAAGCTAAGGCAGAACTGAGACTAGTTGTAATGATCTTGGAGTGCTACTGCTGCCTAACTCATGGTGTCAAAACAGTTCTTCTGTATGAGACAGTTTTCTGGCAGACTTTGTCAGAATTGTGTAAGTGTAATGACAGAAGGACAATTATGAGAAATTTTGAGTAACAAACTTGAGAGAAGTGATCATGTTCCAGCAGAGAAAATAACTTGGGTCTGTCAGGTTTTTTTTTTCTTGGGTTTTTTTTTTTTTTATGTGTAAGCATACAAAAGGAGCAGGGCTGTTCTTGCACCCTCTGTACCTCCCATACTTGCTACACTTCTTGATTTGCAAAGCTTGCTAAGCCAGTTTTCACCCTGTGAGTGCCTTCAGGGTGGAGTGAATAATGCTTGCATGACTATTCCTATTAGGTTTGCAGAAGACTCATCCTTTGCCTCAAGATTGGGTGTGCAGAAGCCATTACATGGCAAATAGCTCTTGCTTCCTCCAGTACTTGGTTTGTTCCACTCACTTCTGAACTGGATGTGTGAGGATAACTCCTTACTATGAGTATCTGCCAATATTGTCAGTAGAAACTCAGGGGCACTTCAGAACAGCTTGTTTAATGTGTTGGATATTTCAGTGCTGAAACTTGCTTTATTGGGGTTTTATTGTTTGGTTTGTTTTTGTTTTTAGCTGGGTGAATAATGTGGAGCACAATTATAACCAATAGTGCTTAACTCTGGCAATAAAAAGCCCGTAATTGGGTATTAGCTGAGAATCTTGGATATTGCTATTTGCATTTCCTGTGATAGTACTCAGGAACTGGGTAATATTATATTACTTTTATGCAAAGCATTATGTAGGAAGATGTAATCTTCTGTCTAAAGGGGCTTAAATAAAAAACAGAGCAAAAGGGAGGGGATCAGTGCAGGGTACAATTGCGATGCTGTTTCATGTCATCTCAGGTGAAGTTAGTTGTTCAGTGAGAAAGGAGTTCAGAGACATGGAAGAGACAGTGGGAAGGAGTAAGTCTTGAAGGACGCTGGCAGTGAGTGAAGCTGTGGTGATGCATCTGAGGAAATGATTTAGAAATTTCTTCCATGTTAGAGGGCCACCCTAATATAGAATATGCCTTTTCTTCCTGCTCCCTTTAAATTGCTGAGTGTTGCAGGAGGTAGTACCACAGCTGCACACCAAGATTAAGTAGTTCCTTGTTTCCCATCTTGCCTTATTTGGGACTGTCTTTTGCTTGTTGTTTCATTGGGAATATACATGTGGATGCTACTGCATATATTAACTCTGGACAGCCATGTCTAGTTTCTAACACTTCATTAAATGTGAGCTTGGATTATCCACTGTAATTGTCTTTTTCCAGTTGCCCAGGAGAGACATCATTTAAATACAAATGTACAGAGACATATGTGTGGTCTCCTACCCCTTCACAGAACAAGGGATGGGATTTACAGACTATTTCATTTATATTTTTTCCCAAGTACCATAATTTCTAGTGCATCTGTCCATAGGTGTCTACCTCTGTGTAGTCAATTATGTTCACTAGAATACAGATTTTTACTTAGCATGCTCTTTAAACGTGCAGAAAACTATCAGTTTTCTTCTCCAATCTTGCCTAAAAGCTGTGCTTCTAACTAATCAGAGGTGAAGGTGTGAGATTGTGCCTGCCTATGTTGATGACTTTCTTCCTCCCCTCCACCGTGTTTATATTCCTCTAGAGTTTGGCACAACTGACTCCCTGTGTCTGACAACTGGTATCAGCTTCTGTTGGCACTAGAGCGTTTTCATAAACTGCTTCTCCCATGGATCAGTGTCTTCAGAAAAGTTTCATCATAGAAAAAAGTTATTGTGGGGTGGGGTCCTTGTTTGTGTTCCTTTTCCCACCCCTTTCACACGGCTGCATTCCCCTCTCTGAATGCTGATCACTTGTAGTGATCTTTGGCTCAGCACAAAGGAAATATTGAAATGTCTTTTCAGTTCTGACAGCACAGTCTAACAGTCAAGCACATGTGCATGCATGTCCCCTGCTGGAATAGCTATTGAAACTCCTGCCCAATTTCTCTTGACTTTTGACAGAGGAAGTGCATTTCCAAAAATCTTCATAAAACCTGGTCAGGTAAGACCAGGAGTCCAACACCTGCACTATCAGCAGCTTCTGGTTCCCTCTATAAGTAGCTGAGGCTTTGCACAAGCTCAGTGTGGAGCTGTTAGGTGCTATGGGGGGGAACAGTGTCAGGAAAGGGAGGAGAAGCACTAATCTGCTCTGATACACAAGGTGCCCAGAAACAGCTGTGTGGTGCTGCTTAGGCACCCTCTCTGTCAGAGTCTGTGGGTTATTTTTCTTCCAAACTCCCTTTCTGGGGGGCAGAGGAGGAGGTGAGCTTGAGTTTAAAGCTTAGGAAGAGAGATTGTGATGAAGAATTTTTTTCTTGTCATAAATAGTTGTAGTCTCTTAAACAACACTTTGCAGTTGCTTGGGATTTTTGACTTGTTTTTTTAAAAAATCTATTTAATGTTTGCAGTACTTTACCCCAAGAAGGTACTAGGAGCAGGACAGTAAAGGCAATGACTAGCAAACTATTTATAGTCAAGCAGTTGGAGGGGAGGAGTCACTGGTTTAAGTATTCTGGCTTTTAAATTAAGATAATTTACTTAAGCTTCAAATATTCTTCTAAGACTAAGCATCATCCTCTCACATTCCATACTCCAATGCACACTTAAAACCAGCAATGCTTCAAAATCAAATTACCCCAAAGTGTATTCTGTTGGCACAGTAGGTTTCCTTTCCGTGGTAGAGGAATGCATAAATTCAGTTAAAGTTATTTTTCATCTTGCAACAAGACAACTGCTAAACAATTTTTGAAAAAGCTGTTTTGTAGAACTGACTTGCAGTCACTCTACAAATAATAGGGAAGACTTTGTCACAAATTTGTGCTGACTCACCTGTTGGTGAGATGATAGAACAAAGCTGGTATGAGGTGTTGGCTTCTAAAAGAAACTGTTTGTTCCCTGCACTTCTTGTAGGCATCTGGCAACTCAAATGTTGCTCAGGTCTATGTGGAGAAAACTTTCCTCTTTTAAGAGGAAACCTGCTGTCTTGGACTATGAAGCAACCTTTTGAACATCATCATGCAGGCTCTGGAGCATTTGAAATGTGTCTAATGTAGTCTGGGGGGCATGTAGGCAAATAATTGGTTCACTTGGCTGTCTTCAATGTGTTCCATTAGTGTACCTTCATGTCAGGATGGGTCTTGTTTAAGAAATTCTCATTTTTGCTCTCAAGTCTTGATGCAAACTGGTAAGGCAAGTAAAAAGTGTGACACTTATTCCCAGCTTTCTTTATTTTTTTTCCTGTTCTTGGTTATATTTTTTTACCTTTCAGTCCTCAAAAAAAAGTGAGTGAAAAAGACCTTTTTAAAATTTTGTTTCATAAATAATGGAGTAGAATTTCAAGTAATCTTACAGTCCTGTGGCCTGGTGTTGGAGAGGGGCAAATATGATGGAAATCAGGAGATACCATAGTAAACTGTTTATGGTTGTCTGAAAAAAGATGGTATATCCCACTTAAATCAGCCTCCCTTTATGAATGTGAAGGGAGTTTTTGGTCTCTCTATGGCCTGCCTAGGACAGGATGCTTACTGCTCTCCACTGCAGTCATTTCCAAAATCCTTCAGACTGAAGCTATGGACTGTGGGGCTCTGTTTTGCCTCTTGGCAAAACATGACAGGTGGACTCTAACCAAATTCTCAAAATGCTTCTGTGCAACAGACAAAGCTTGGGTTAGAACTTCTAATAGGTAAGGCTTAGATGAGGTGTCATTTATGAATTTTGTTGAAGTGGTAAGATACTTATTTTGCTTTGGGATTTACTTGATCAAAAAGCATATGGTATATATCTCTCAGTTTCTGGAGCTTTTAGTTCCTTGTTTGCTTCTTCTCCTGCCCCAAGTCTTCATCTGAAGATTAAAGAGGATGTTAATTAAAGAGCCCAGGGCTCCTGTCTCTTCCACATGCAGAGGTGTATCTGTCAAACATACATATTTCATGGACATATTAAATACGTGTCCTTATTATGGGGTCTCATGTCCCCAGATGCTTTCTGGAGTGACCTTACAGCTCCCGCAGGTGGCAATAACTAGAGGCCAAGGCAGAGCAGCTAATGTATCTCAGCAGGAAGATGGATTAAATCTTCCCCTGAGAAGCAACATAAAAGGACAACATGAGTGTGTTGCTCTAGCAGGAAACCAATTAGAAATCTGTTTGGTGATGATTGACTTAACTCCAGCATAAAGATTTAAATCTTGACAAGAACAGTCCAGCATTTCCCTATGGAGCCTCTCAAGTTGAAGATATGGGGAATATTATTTTAACATTAATATCTGAACCATACAGTAAGTGGTTATGATGAATGAATGCTTTGTTCCTTCTTCAGTTTTGTTTCCTGTCCTGTACGTTGACAAAATAAGAAATAACTTGTGCTGTGTTTCATAGATCACCGATTTTCAGACCCAGAAAGGGTGAACTACAAATTTGAAAGTGGGCCTTGGTAAGTGCTTTCTCCGTCTTCTTGTTGCACATTTCCACTCCCATCACTTTTTGTTTAAGGTTGCTGTTTAGATCAGCTGTACTTCTCTCTATTCCTAATTTGCCAATAGCTGTTACCATTACATTTATTTACCTTCCCACTTCTACAGGAATCGATTTGATCCTTTAAGTGAGAAAGGGAACAGACAGTCTACGATCAGATGCAAGCCTATTTTCTTGTTAGGCTTCAGTGTTGCCTGTTTGCTGAGAGTTCTGTGTTCTGCTAATAAGAGCTTATAATGGGTGCTAAGTGTGCTGTGCTATTAACAAAGAATGTAAGCAATGTTTCAGAAATAACCCTATTAGTTACTAATTCTTGCACTCTACCTGTGTAGTAAATTGCAGGAACTGCATATACATTATTTTTTTTTTAACAGGGAAGAAATACTTTCATAAAGATATTGTACCAGAAATACTGTGCTACCTCTCAGTTGTTTAAACTAGGGTGGTTCTTATTCCCAAATATGTTTTAAGCATAAAGCTTTACATAAAGCTCCATCTGTTTTGATGCTTTGTTGCTTAGGTGTTTTTCTGGTGGGTTGTTTTTTTTTTTTTTTGTTTTGGTGTTTTTTTATGTAACACTGTTTTGGGTTTTTTTATGTGTAAATACAGATTTTTCTCAGTGGTTTTTCTCCATTATTTCTCTGCAGTATCACAAGATACTGACCTTTAGCACTGACCTTATTTTTATTCCCATCTTGAGCAAACACTTCCCCCTTTCAGATTTAGGATCTGTCATAACGGTAGATGATGCTTTTACTTTTGAGTCAAAAAAAGTAAGAAAAATTGCAACATTGGCAGAAAGCGTCCAGGGAGATTAGCTCAGGGGCTATGTTCAGCCTTGTTCTAAGCTTTTTCCTTTCACTAACAAAATTCTGGGATGAAATGGAAGATTCACATTTTGAGATAATGAGAAGTACAGAACTAGGAGGCAAGGGGGAACAGTTTGAGACAGATAGCTACAGAAAGGCCACCTGAGAGATTAAAATGTGAGTGAGAAACATGACCTTCCAGGCATACCGCAGCCCTTTTGTATGAGGGAGTCCTCTACTACTGAACAACACTTCATCTACTTAATCAATCACTTAAGCTCTTCGTGCAAAAAAGCTATTCCTGTGATAGCCAGAAAGGCAGGCTTGGGTAGCTGTGAGCGCTTTGTTGTACTTGACACTTCCAAGAAGTAAGAGAACAAAAGAAACTGCAGTAATGACCAATTAAACCTGGCTTTCTGTGGCTAAGCTATTCCCACACTAAGCAGCCAATGTAGCCTTTAGCTATATTAGTCTCTAGTAGCACAGAGATGGCCTGAACCAGCAATGTTAAGGCTTGACTCCTCAGGCCAAAGTCCTGTGTGTGCTGAGTGCAGCCCTGAACAGATTTGGTCTTGGCTTGTGACTGGTTCTTATACACTGTCACAGTAGAAATAATAAGCACTAATCTCTGTTACATCTAATTGTTCTGCTTCAGTTTCTACCTAGCTTGATTAGAACAGCAAGTACTTGATTTTTATACCAGTAACCTTCTTCAGATAACAGAGAAGCACAAATGATGTTAGGAGAGGGAAGTAAATTAGGAATATGATGAAAGAGATGACAGCTCAAAGAGAAATGTGGTCAAGCTGGAAAGAGGAAACTTAGCAAGGCAAACTTTCCCTTGGAGAGACTTGTATAGTGGCTTTCAATTGGTGGCACTTGGGCCTCACTGTCTTGGCATTGCCATCCAGCAGACATGGAGCAGGGACAGAAGTCTGTTCTTGGAGTACAAATGGCAAGCAGGCAGATTGGTTTGTGGCAGGTACTGGAGGCAGATGTCTCTGCATTTGCTACTTCTTTCTGTGCCTGCAGCAGCAAGATGGAACTTGTGGATGACAATGCTGTTATCCGAGCAAGAGGATTGCCATGGCAGTCATCTGACCAGGACATAGCAAGATTCTTCAAAGGTCTAAATATTGCCAAGTTAGTAGCTATGAATTTACTTGTACATTTGTAGCCCTTCTACTGTGTTAGTCATGGAGTTTCATCTCTTGATTTAAATCTCGCAGAGGAGGTGCTGCACTTTGTCTCAATGCCCAAGGTAGAAGGAATGGAGAGGCTCTTGTGAGGTTTGTAAGTGAAGAGCATAGAGACCTAGCACTACAAAGGCACAAGCATCACATGGGAAACCGATACATAGAGGTGGGTGATGTGATGGCCTTTGAAATCCTCTTCTCAAAGGGAATGCAAATTACATACCAATCACGTGTTCTTATTTTTTTTCCATTAGGTATACAAGGCAACAGGTGAAGAATTCCTTAAAATTGCAGGAGGTAATTTTTAGGGGATGAAAAAGGGATGGTTTGATCTATCATTATATCTAACTTCTGACTGCAAACTGCTCCTGATGAATGTGTCCCTTTTTTTCTGTCTTTGAACAAGTAGTTGGCTGGTGTATTGATTACTATTTATTCTCCTAGCAGCAGTCCAAGATGTTCCATGATTTATCTGTCTGCCTCTCTTTTCCACATTCTTGACGTTTTCAAGTGGACTGTCAGTCAGGATTTGATTGGGCAAAGTGATCTTGTATATGAACTTAATTTGTTAGGTCATCTTCATGATACTGGGAATCGAAATGTTATTGATTGCTGAAAAAATGAAACCAGTAGTTTTTCAAAACAATGTAACTGCTGGTGCTCTGGAGGCTTGCACATAAAAACAGATATCACAGTGTAAATACAAGGGATTTATGAAACTGATTTTCTTCAAATCAAATATTTGCCTCAGACCTAATGGGGAGGATTTAGGGGAAATGCATATTTAAAGAGTCTTGAAATATTTGCTGATAATTGAAAGGCAGCAAATTTTTTTCTTCAAACTTTCTTGATCTCTCTTCTTCCCCTTTGTCTGCAAGCATACAAAAATTGAATTAAGAACAAATAAGCTGTTTTATCTGCAATACTACTTTAAAATACTGCTTTAAGGTCCTCATTACTTCCTGACAGAGATTTGGGCTGAGGTTTGTAAGTGATTAACTGGATATCTGAAGTTGAGGCTTCAGAGTGGGAGAGGCTGTTAAACAAATTTGGTTAGCAGCTACCTTGGAATAAGGTAGTGTTACTCCATCACTGGTCTCCTAAAGGTACTAAAAGTAGAATTGGCAGACTTTGACAGTTCTGTTGGGATAGGATGAAATCCCCGAGCCGTTTTCAATATGCTCTTCTAACTTTCTTTCCCAGCTCAGTGATCTGGGTACTTGGTTGCCGTATGTTATGGCTCCAGAGCATGCCAGGGGTATTCCAAACTTAGACAAGGGGCACAGTAGCACAGGTCCTGCTTACACAAGAGATTGACAGATTGTGCTTTTCTTGGGCTATGAATGTTGCAAGTACTTCCTATTTTTCCTTTGAATAAAGATTAGTCTCCTCTAAATGGAGTAACATTATTATACTTTAACAAGAGGTGTCCTATACAATATATCTAGTTTATCAGAGGGTTATCTTTCCGATCTTTAGAGGCAAATATTGTTCTACCTGCTCAAAAACTGCCTGTGGAGAGGATGTAGCTATGCTCATGATTTTACATGGTTGCCTAGACTGAAGTGCTTCTGTACTTTTTCTTGTTAAAGGTACTTCCAATGAGGTTGCACAGTTCTTGTCAAAAGAAAACCAAGTGATTGTCAGGATGCGAGGTCTTCCTTTCAATGTAACAACAGAAGAAGTGCTGACTTTCTTTGGCCAGCACTGCCCTGTAACAGGAGGAAAAGAGGGAGTCCTGTTTGTCACTTATCCTGACAGCAGGCCAACAGGGGATGCCTTTGTCTTGTTTGCTTGTGAGGAATATGCACAAAATGCACTGAAAAAGCACAAGGATTTGCTGGGGAAAAGATACATTGAACTCTTCCGGAGCACTGCAGCAGAAGTTCAGCAGGTAGGTACAATCCTTTCAAACATTGGCTTTTTGTGGCCCAAACTTCTATGCTGGCAGTAGAGGAAGTAAATAATGCTTGGCCTTGACTTGAAAGCTTCTTTTATCTTTTCTCACTCTTGACTCTTGCTGGAATGAGTATTGTCTGAATTTCTGTGAGTCTTTGCTCCCTTGAAATGTAAGCTCTTATGGTATAGGGATGTTCTCAGTCATACACAAACCTTAAGGGTTTTGGCTTCCAATAGCTTTGTAAAATGTCGATGTGTGTCTAGTGCTTTACACTACATATTCCGAATTTGATTAAGTCCAATGGCGATCTATTCAGAAGGAGTGTTTAGCAACAAGTTCTTGAGTAAAATATTTATCTTTAGTCATTGGCACAAAAAAAAGCAAAGCCTTTTGATGTAGTTGTCCTCTCCAGTGTAATGTATCTGAAGAATTCTACCAATTGCCTTTAAGGGCAGATCTCTGCCATCTTCTGCAAGCTCAGGCTACCTAGCAGAGTGTGGCAGGACTTTGAAACTGAAGAGTCTGGCTTACCAGAGCATGGGGGCCCATTAATTGCAGCTAAGCTGTCAGGGAAAGGAAAGAACGTTGAGTGGACTGTTTAAGTCTCCAAAAAGATTTGCAGAGCTTCAGTTGAGGTAAATAACTTCTAGACATGATCCTAAAAGGCATCATCTATGATGCAAATCATAGTCATGTTGTATCCAAGAAATTATGCACCTCTGTTCTCCCCAGTATGTAGAGATTTCAGTGCCTTGTTTAAGGTGATATTAGCGGTGAGAAAGCAGAGCCTCAGTGCTCACTTGTCATTGCATTTTTCTCAAGTAATCTCATGTTTATTTGTTTAGTAAAGCCTTCTGATAGCTGTATAAATGCAAATGAATCTTAATCTTGCTCAGAGACAGTTCAGGAGTAGTGATTGAACATTCAGGGAACTTTTCACCCGACAGGGTTTTTGCTGTTAAAATTATTTACAAGAAATCTCAAAATGTAAGTGTACAGGTACTGTGATTCAGTATGAACTACGGCAGGCACGATTAGGGATGTGAAATGTGAGGTAGTGAAATGTGCTTCTAGTTCCCAAACTCTCCTGAAGTTTTGCAGAGGGGATATTTTTGGGTAGAAGTGTCATTATGACTCTTAGATGTAGATGGTAGAATGCTTTAGGGCAATTTCACAGTAAAAATACTGTAGATATACAGGTTTCATGTTCTAAGAGCTCTATTGAGACTTCCATAAACTGTTCAAGTAAATTTCCCAAAACAAAACTGTTTTTCAAGAAAAAAAGACCCAATTTTTTATTAAAACAATAGCATGACTGTTTGTTGTGGAATTACTGTAGAAGTGTCCTAGATGCTGAGCTTAAACCACAACACAGTGCTTAGAATTCAGATGTTTTGCAGTTAATATTTGTATCTAGCTCTTTTGTTCCTTAAAATACTGCTCAGAGTGAAAACAGGTGGCATTAGGGTTACATTTACTCCTTCTAAGTTGAAGAATGAGTAAGGAGCCTTCTGTAATCTGATTTTTGTCTTGCACAGGTGCTGAACAGGTATTCTTCCACACCTCTCATTCCTCTCCCAACACCTCCAATTCTTCCAGTATTACCTCAACAATTTGTGCCTCCCACTAACATCAGAGACTGCATACGTTTGCGTGGTCTTCCCTATGCTGCTACTATAGAGGACATTCTGGAGTTCCTGGGAGAGTTTTCTACAGATATTCGGACCCATGGAGTTCACATGGTACTAAATCACCAGGTTGGTAGGCGACATGTTTCTAGCCACTCTGCCAAATGCTTGTATATGTGAGTACAGTCTTGATGATATCTCTAGGGAAGCAGCTTTGGGATTAGCACTAATGATATTAATGGGTCTCCAGTTCTCTTCTAAAAGTGTACTGGCAATAGATGACTGGAACTCTGTGCCAGCTGCTGCATTTGCTGTTGACTGGTTTCTTTCACTGAGACTCACATGCTGAAAGCTAAGCTGTAGTCTTGGAGGGGTTGGTGCTCCCAGAACAGTAGATATGATCCTGACCTGTAGGAGGCTTGAACTGAAGAGTCTTGCTCAACAGCATGCATGATTCCTCTTGTACCTCCTGAGGAGTGCCATCAAAGCACAAGTGTGAGCAATGTTAGCTCTCAAAGGAGTGGTTTGTCCCTGCCTTGCTAAACAATGTGCTGCAAGTATATTTGAGGACAAATGAGACTGCAGCCTTCTAGAGACAGGAATTCCTATGTCAGAAATCAGAAACAGAAGCTTTGAGTTTCTTGTATTGTTGCTTTCTTTAGACAGTCACAGCTAAGCACTAAGATTAACAGCTCATTGATGTGTATAAGGTGTCATATCTTTGCCATTGTTTTCTGGAAACAGTTTCTACCAAAACAGTTTTAGACAAAGGATTGTGCATTCTTGTGATCTTTAAATTCTTATTCTTGTAACTTCAAGGGGTGGAGTCCTTTAACTCTAAGCAGATGCTCTGAGTGGTTCAATAGAACAAACTTATTGCTGCTTATGGCTGTACAAAAATGATGATTCTAAAATTCTTTTAGCTTCAGCTTAATGTCAACCAAAACTAGAAAATACTTCCTGGTCCTGAAGTAGGACTTCTGTGTTTCAGGAATATGGGGATGGAGAACTATAGTTATTTCAGTACCTGTCTATCTAAAGACATTCCTGTGTCTGCAGGGACTTGACATAGACAAGGCTAAAATCTGTAATGAATGTGCAGTGCTGGGAGAGACTAAGAAGTGCAGGTATTCAAGTGCAAGTAATGATTTACAGTAGTATCAGCTCTTGACAGCGCTAATGAAAGAACCTGGATGAAGAAACGGGTGTGTGCATATAACCCCAAGGGCTGTCTGCCACCCTTGCCCTACCCAAAGCTATCAGACCATTTCCCCCCAATACAGCTTTTGCCTAACTACTAGATTTTTATCTTTCTCCATGTTCCTAGGTTTCAACCCTCTAATCATAAATGACTGTGTAAAGGATGCTGATAAAATTATTGTCCCCTCCAAAACGAGAATAACTGGCCTAGAACTGGAGTTAGAGCTGCCTTCAGATTTCTCTCTCTAGTTTTGGCTACTTCAAATCAGCAGCTGCATGTGGCTAAAATAACTCCTCCCAGTGGTGCATCCCACTTGTTTACAGATATAAAGATTTTTTTTCTTATTGTCTGCAAGCTCATACCAAATGTTAGGCTAGCTAGTTCTCTATTAAAATATCACAGCCCATGTTGGTCTTCAGAAAATAAAATTTAAAACAAATTGTTTAGCAATGAGCATTTGACTGTATTTATCCTTGAATTTTAAAAATCACAGGTAATAAATAGGGAGTAGATCTTCCAATTCTGCATTCATAGTAAATTTGCAAGAGCAGGTCTCAAAGCACCAAAGTATTCCTGAATTAAAGCCTCTCCCATAGGTGTCATTTTTTGGTGTTTTTTTTTTTTTTTTTTAATAGGAGTAACAATATCCAATGTAGCTTAATCAGAACAGGTGAATAAATGCAATCAAACTTTGGAAAAACCGTTGGAGAAGAGAGCTTAAACATGCTGATGAGTACTCAGGATGACTGACTGTACTTGACCTTGGAGATTAATGCACTTATGGCTGGAGAGACTGCTTATAACAGCACAAATTATTGCTATGCTGCTCCTTCATAGAACCTACAGAAACACTTCTCTTTTGTCTGACTTTTTTGTAGGGACGCCCATCAGGAGATGCTTTCATTCAGATGAAATCTGCAGATCGAGCTTTCATGGCCGCACAGAAGTGTCATAAGAAGACTATGAAGGACAGATATGTTGAAGTCTTTCAATGTTCTGCTGAAGAGATGAACTTTGTATTAATGGGGGGCACTTTAAATCGAAATGGCTTGTCCCCACCACCATGTAAGTTACCATGTAAGTTTTGCTTGGGTCTTGCCGCTTTGCTCTACACTGTGGGTAGGTATTGGAGCTGCTTTGCTGACTCTGATCCTGGTTTCTGGAAAGCATTGTCACATGGGGAGTGTTAAAATAAGGTCTTTTGTCTTAAACCATCATGAGCTTGCAATCATTATTTTTCTTTGTTGTGAATTATTATGACTGAAGAACTACTTTTGCTTTTTACAGTGGCAAATTTTGCCTGCGCTCCCTGAAACTTTACTTGGTTGGGATGAGTGATTCTGAAAAGTAATTTCTAAGCCCTGCCTAGACCTTTAAGAACTGTTTTGCATTTCAACTTACTTGTACTTAGATTTTGTCATGGTGAACATGTCAAGTTAAAGACCTTCCCTTTTCACTTCCAAAACTTAATTTGAGAAACTGTAGGTAATGCTCCTCTTTGAGACTTAATCATGTGTTCTGCCTTTTGAACCACAACTGACTGAACTCTTCCTTTGCTTTTTGTTGTTCATATGGAATGGAGGTTGGCTTTGTGGGAGTGAAATATGCATGGCTTCTGCCTCAGAGAATTGCAGGATCTGTGTTTCCTTTTAAATTTTGATTCTCAGAGCTACTAGATTGAACACTGACTTCTATGTAAACTTCTTGGGGAAATGCTTTAAGAGCTTAAAGGTTAACTTATTAAGCATCTGTGCCACATAAATCTGAGCCTATGGGAAAAATAACACTTTGCTTCCAAAATCATAAGTGGCAAGGTAGTCAAGTAATAGCTTTCTCTGTGTCCCCCCATGCAAGTGTATTTTTTTGGTAGTGGACTTTTTTAAGAAATGTCCTCTGCATGCTAGTCAGAGCAGCCAATACAGCAGCAAACTTCCTTTGGAGTGGTTTCTTTTGGGTGCAAGAAGACCTTCAGCTAATCCTTGGGAGGGCTTTTTTCTTTTACTTAAAGAATTTTGAGTGGGGTCAGCAGTGCATAGTCTTACGTGTGATGGCTGTTCCAGACGGGTTGGAACCTTCTGAGAGCTTCTAGGGCAGAGTTACAAACTTTGGAAACACACAGGTGTCAGTGTTCCTGTTTCCAACTACAAATGCCTGTGCTATATTCCTCAGATAAGGCCTTTTGGCCCTTTGTTCCACATTTTACGACACAGTGAGATGCTGGCTGTAACTCTGAATAGCAAAATTAAAGGCTTACTTTATCTAAAGATTTATGTTCACTTCTCTGACAATGGGGAGGAGAAGAGGAAAGCAAAGGAAGAGAATGACAAAGGAGGAGGGTAAACTCTCTTCAGTGAGAAGTCAATTAGGGGCTAACATCTTGTCAAAACAGCACAGTGCACTTTCGTGGTTGTGTTTTTTTATTTAACACTTCAAGCTGCAAAGCCATGACTTTTCTCACTCTGCTGTTGATTAATGAAGGGATAAGTAATACCAGGATGAAAGTCTTCTCTTTTGTTGAATGCTAAAAAGATCTTTATCAAGGAAGTTTTCTTCTTACTGTGGAAAAGTCTCATAGTTCTTGAATGCGGACTTCAATAAAATCTGAGCCTAGACAAGCAAAACTGACCTATATATTAGAAAGAGGCCCTATTCTCAGAGCAAGAGGTGGCTTTTTGTGTATTTTTAAGTTTACTGTTGACTGGAGGCTGGGTGCAACACTGTGTTAGTCACACTCATGTTAGTGGCTCACATTTGTGTTCTGTGGTGAACAAGGATGAGAAGATTGTAAAGGTTCTTGATGTACTGTGGAGTTGTGTATGTATGGTCTTAATTAGCTGTGGAATTTCAGAGGTCCAAATCTATTTTCCATTTGCTCCCTGCAGGCCTTTCACCCCCTGCCTACTCCTTTCCGGCTCCTGCTGCAGTTGTGCCAACAGAAGCTGCTCTGTATCAGCCATCCATGCTTCTGAACCCACGAACACTCCAGCCCTCCACAGCCTACTACCCTGCTGGGGCTCAGCTCTTCATGAACTACACAGCATATTACCCCAGGTAAAGCAGAGGAGAACCCAAGCAGCAACGAAGAAGTCTTTTTTTGTTGGGTTTTTTTTTTTTTTTTTGTAATTGTCTCCAGCAAATGCACAAAGCTCACAAAAGGAAATTGTCTGCTCTGCTAAGGACTTGTGATACCAAGAACAGCTTGTTCGGTATCTTGTTCAGGGAAACAATTTCAGGATAACTAGGGATTTTTCAAGTTTGAGTATTGCAGGTAGCAATGTTTGGTGGGCAGGGGGCTTGGTCAGCGTGTTGTTTTTTGGTTGTTTTTTTTTTTTTTTATAACTTAGGATACACCTTTAATTTTATATTATTTTGGTTTCAGCTAATATTCCTCTTAAGCTTATTAGTTGGCTTTATTATGCCCTCAGTGGGAATTGATGTGTGCAGTACTCCTTCCCACGCCCATAAAGAAGCCCTTGGCCCCTCTTTAGAATGAGTGGGCTGAGGTCTGCCTTAAGAACTTCTGAAATACTGCCTCTTTGCTTCTGTAAAAAAGTAACTTTTGACCTTTATGATGAAAACTGTTTACTTCTATGAATATGTATTGTATTGAATGTATATGTAAGGAATATAGAGGCATATATTCTTCCTCTCTTCATAAATACCTCTCACAAAGGGCTTTTAGTTCTTCTGGATATATTAGCTATCTGCTACAGAACAAAATCGTTGGATACCTGTTGCCCTCTGCAGTCAGGAGGCCTTGGAAGGAGCTATGTTCCCTTTAAGCCATAAACCATTTTTCATCTATTAGGAAATCTGCTAAACAATTAAAATTTTTTATCTCTGCAGCAGGACTAAGTAACTACTTAGGAAGTTGTTAAGCAATATTAGCTCTTCAATACCTTTAATATAACAAAGGTTTTCTTATTACTTTACCTATATGTCTGTGAACTGACTGTGGTTTTTTATTAAAATGTTTCCTTCACTCATGAGTTTACTATAATGCCTTCAATATCTGTTTTATGTTATGATAATATTACCAAACTCAGCCTTGTTAATGTAAGATTAAGAAAAATAAAATTCCAAACTTGCACTGGCAATATAAAACAAGGTTCTCAATAACAGTTCTATATTTCATGAAAACAACGTAGCAGTAATAGTCTGTGGTTACTGATGTGCTTTACTTCTTAAGGTAAGAATAGACTGGCCACTGCAGGCTAAATGTCAGGCCCTAGTGATTTCTCACTGAATGAAATTCCACAAGTCCCATCAAGGGCTGCTTGGGCTGTGGGCATGTATGTTGGTCATAGACTGATCAATCACAGGTCCCAAAACATCTTTTTATATTCTTGTCTAACTGGCAGTTGTTCACTGTTTTTACAAAACCATTATTGGATAACTTCTCTGCCAATTGCAAATACTGCCCGTTTAAAGAAAATAAGGAAAAATTTCTGGAGTCGAGTTGGCTTCTTTCTTTCCTGTAAGATTTTGTATTGCTTTCTCATCCAGAGTAGGTGTTTGTTCTCCAGACAATTTCCATATACTTGCAATAGATGCAGTGATTCTTTGTAGCTGATGTTTTTGGCTTGTTGGGTTTTTTTTGTTTGGTTTGAGGGGTTTTTTTTGTTTAATTTGTTTTGTTGTTTTGTATTATTTTGAGGGGTTTTTTTTTGGGGGGGGGGAGGAGTTTTTTTTTTGGAATTTGGTTGGTTGGTTTCTTGGGGTTTTTTTTTTTTTTTTTTTTATTCTTACTGCTTTTCAGGCAAGTTCCTGTGCTTTGTCCAAGATGCAAAAAATAATTGGGTCCATTTGAAGTTGCAATCAGAACACTCTTAACTTTTGAATTAAATTTCAGAACTGGAAAACTACATTTAAGTATGTGCAGCAGGAAACAATGGGATATCCTCTGTACTAAGTGTTCCATTTAAAAGCACGTCCAGGAAAAGCAATATAGAGCTGGTAGGTAATAATCAGACAATGGTCCATAAATCTAACTGGTGAATATTTATGGAAATAAGGAAAATTTATTTGACCTGCTGCCAAAAGCTTCTACAACTTGTGTTTTGCAAGGTCAAGTTGGTTTATAATAGTCTAACTCCATTTTCCACACAGAAATCAAATGGTGGAAAGGAGGGAGATATTGGCTTGGTCTGCAGTACCTATCAGAAATGCTATAACGCTCAGACTTGTCTTAATGCTCTTACAGCTTTGGTGATGAAACCAGTGGTGTAAAGAAATGGATGCCTTCTGAGCCATTAAAATAGCTTTAGTGAACTCCTAATGAAAAGGAGGGAGAGCAAGTTATTCAGGATCTGTCAGTCTTTGATATCACTGTTCAGCTTATAATTATATCTGGCAACATGTTCTGACAGCAAATCAGTGGTCTCTCTCTCTGTCTAGTCCCAAGCTTTTAAGAAAGAACAATAGGATTCATGGGAAGGAGGAGTTTTCATTTACCTAATCCTAGGTGTACTACGTGCTGTATGTACACTGGAAATAACTGCACTACTTGGCAATTGCTAACACATCCTATAGAAACTTTTACCATATACAAACTCGAGAGCAATTGCTACAGGGTAAACAGTTTTAAAACAAAGTTGAATCTTATTGTATTTATTGAGTTCTGTAGTGGGTTTAGTGTTGGTTAAATATCAGTGCATCCACTAGAATTATTTATTCATTTTCTGTTGTAAGATAAGGATTAGGAGGAGAGCAAAGTAGGATCAAAACTTAAGAGTATAAAGAAAATTTTATTAAGACAACTAAAATAAAAATAAGAAATAAGAATAAACCTTTAGAACACTCTTCTTCCCCCTAGGTTGTTTTTTTCTCTCCCCCCCACTGATAACGTAGAGACAAAATTTTGTATTTTCAGTCAGTTTACTACTTCCAAAATAACTTTTTTTCTGTTTACTTAGGGAGAGGAGTCTCTTGTCATGCTATACAGACTTTTCCACAACGAACAGTTTTCTTGTGGTTTTAATTTTCATGAATAGCAGCTGCCTGGAAATCTACAATCATGATGTCCTTCTCATGGTTTGGTAGATTTTCCACAACTACTACCATGGGTCTTCTCAGCTTTTTGAGGTGCAGTTTTAAGGATGAATTTTTCTACTGTAGAAAAAAAGTTCTTTTCTTTTATCTTTGGGAGCAGATGTTTTCTACTCTTTTTCTCTAACTTGAGAGGATTAATGCTATTTTTATCACTTTTAAACAGTGCCTTGAAAGCCTCAAAAGTGTCTGTCAAAATCCATATATGTAGTAATACCTTTATGCTTTTTACTTTTTTAAAAAGTATTTTATATAGCATAGTGGAAAGAGGAGCTTCTTAATTGTAAGACTGTTAGCCACAACATATGGAAACTGAAACGTGGTGTGGGTTCTAACAAACTGGATAAATTCTATGGCAGGAAATTCATTGTGAGTTAGTGAATACACAGAAACCACACCTGGCTCAGGAAGTCCTTGAACCCAAAATAACTAGAAGAGTGTTCTTGTGTTCTATGTCCTATGGTAAATTCTTGTGCTGTAGAACCAAGGTGGGTAGGTAAACTTGTTTGTTTGCACCTTTGTGTCACTTGTCTTGAGAGATACAAGTACTGCTTGAGAATGTGGGTCTGTTCCAATGTGTTTGTCTAATAGTGGCTAAGTTGGAGTTCTCACTGTTGTGCCAGTGTGTACAGTCTTCTCCATTGGTGTGGTTTGAGTTAAAAGGTCTTTGTATGTGATAAAGGTATGATTCTGACACTTGCTGCACAAGGAAATATGGGGTAATGTCTTCATATTCTCATCTGTCTGCTTATGTCTCTTCCTGCTCTGGGTAAGGTATGAGTTTTCTCATTATACACTAATAACCTTGTAGAAGTATATACATGAGCAACATACATATAGCATTAATATTTATGTATGCATACTTGCAGAAGTATGTATGTATGGAAGTAAAATGACCAATTTGAGCAATAATGAAGGTTAGAAAAAAGTCTCACTTTTTCTGTGATGAATCACATTCTCCATAATGATCATCATGGGAAGCAAGTGAGTCTTTTCTAACCTTGATTATTGCTCAGATTCTTATTGAAGCACAAATAAGTTGCAGGGAGTTTAAAACTGGCAAACCTAGGAACAAGTGGGCGATACCATTCAAAGCTGCTGCCAGCAGCTTTGTTTACATATCTGTCTGGCTAACCAGCATCACTTGACAGAACTGGGTTAGGAAACAACCATATGTGTATTTAGCCTGGGAGCTCTGTCACAGATGGAGAACAGCAGCAGCCAGAAACAAAACCTCTTTTAGTTGTATTCACAGCATCACATCAACACTCTGGACCACAGCTCTTAAATCTTGTGATTTTCTTTTTATTATTATTTTTATGTTAAGTATGTCAGCTTGGATTGCATGAAATCGCATCTGCAGTGATGGGCTCACTGGATATAAAAGCCTGTTGGTGGCTTTTAGCTGCTGTCCAGCAAATGGAGTTCAAATGTTTTAAATCAAGTGTCTGAACCTGAAACTCTTCATTACTTGTTCTTGTTCCATTGAGCTGCTCTCCATCATGAATTTGTCAAAGTAACTCTTTAGTTAATGTCACAAATTTGTCACCAGAATGATTGTTTGGGGGGACACTTCATGATTATAAATGTAGCTTGCAAAGGATTAGAACAGCAGGGATGCCTTTAACTACTACCATATTTCATTGGAAGAGGAGTGCATTAGCAGGGAAGACTAATTGTTGCATGCCTCCATAGGCTGTCATTATCCCTTCATTTGTAGGTTTTAATTAGTAAAACTGCCATGGTGTGTGAAAGCAGCAGAACAGTAATGCTCTGATCAACAGCTATCTGGATATTGGGACAGGAAAATTATTTAAATTAAAAAACCAAACCAAACCCTCACCTTTCTTCAAAGCTGGTAAGCCTTATAAAATGTTGTTGCTGGTAGCAGTGTCCAAATTTTTACTCAGCCCACCATACAAAATGCTGCCATGGAGACTGGTGGGAACTTCTTCCTTTTGTTTCCTTAATATACTCAATGACTTGATTTTCAGGTAGCAGCTCTTACTGTCATCTTCTGACTGTTCCTCTGCTAACTAGGTAAAACATTTGGATTTGTATGAGGGATTGTTACAGCAACATTGTGCAAGCTTGCTGCAGAGATCAGTTTGAGTATAGTTTTTCCTTTTGCCTATTTACATCACAGTTCAGTGGTGGGAGAGATCTGCCTGTTGTGCCTGAAGGCATATGTGTCATCCATGCAGATGGCTTTTTAAAACACTTGCAATGATCTCAGGTTATTCATGGCACTAAGGTACATTGCTGGATGTTTCACTGTACTCAGAAGCAGCCTTCCACAGGGCTGTGTTGAAAGCCCCAGCAGTACCCAGGGCAGACTATTGCAGTCTTTGTGGCAGAGCTTCTGGATCCATTCCCCCTGATTGTTGTTGTGCTACCATGACCTTATCCAGCTGGGAAGTTGGTTTCAGTAGGCAGAGTGGGCAGCAGGTTATCTGGTTAAGTGTGGGGAAGACATCTGTATTGAAGGAGCTTTGGGTGTTTCCAGGGATAGAGCTGGATTGGTCTTGGAATAAGACTTCTTAGAGCTGAAAGCTTTTTTTTTTTTTTTTTAAAAACTGTTCCTTGTTGAGAATACCATCTATGATATTCCTCCATGATTATATAGTCATAGGGATCTAAATGTTTCTGTTTGATTAACAGGTGACCTGATGGTTTTGTGCTCTTACTTCTGCTATTTGTCAAGTTATGCAGTCTTTCTTTCTTTAAATGTGGATAAACATTCCAGTCATGAAACAGGAAAATTATTCTGGCTGTGTAAATACTTTTGCTAATAACATGTCTTGTTAGTTTTTGTGAAAAAAGTATCATGTTAAAACTTTCAACTTTGGTGGTTATACCACAAAATTTACTATTAACTTTTGTATGCACCACTTCTAAAAAAGCTTTATATTGAAGCTGTGTTTCCTCATAGCCCACTTTCCAGTAGTGAACTTTTTAGGCATTATGCTGTAAGCTTGTGTATACATATACATTATAGTCATGTCCCATACCAGCCCCAGGTGTATTTGAAAATCCCTACCAGTTTCTTAAAAGATCTGCTGTTCACTGATATCTGGGATGATCTGTCAAAACACTGAGTTTTTCTGAAGGCTACTTGTTAATGTGCACTCTTTACTGGCTTCAGTCAGAGGATCTAACTTTAGGGTGCTGCAGAGATGCTCTGGGTCTGCTGAGCTTCTTAGACCTAGAAAAGAGAGGCCATAATTTAATCTTAAAACACTAATGGACAAGTTTGACAAGTTCTCTTTCACTGCTAGTGCTCCTCTAAGTATTAGAGTAAGGGATATGAAGTAAGACTAACAATGCAATCAAGACTTGTCTTAGTCCTGAAATTAATAGAAGCTGCTAATCAGTAGCTTGATGAAAAGATATTGTCAGTATCTGTCACACAGCAGAAAATAGTTAATATACTTCTCAAACAAAAAAAACTTTCAGGACTACAGATAAAAAAAGTCAAAGGAAAAATAGGGATAGAAAAATCTGCAGGGAGAGAAACTGGAACCTCTAGATGGTGTCTATGCACGTATTTGTTCCTCCATGCAAATAGTGCTGGGTATGGTTGTGGTTCACTTGATGGACCTGCAGATACTTGGCAGAGATCTGAAAACCTGCTTGGTTATGTATGCTGACTGCTCCCAACTCACACCCACTTGTAGTATAAACCACAGCTTCCTTCTGGATATTGGCATCTGTTAAGCAAATGTATAATGTAAAAAATTGTTAGGAAATCAGACAGACAGTGAACCTCAATGTTTTCACATAGTATTTTAGTGATGAATATTTGGGATCCCTTGAGGTGTATAAGTGCTGCTTGAATGCCAACATCAACCTTTAGAATGTGTGAAAACTTGTTCTTGAATCCAAAACTGATTTCTGAAATTTAACTGTGTTTTATTTTGAGATTCTTTGGAGAATACAACAATCTCAGAAATATTGATTGGAAAAAATCTAATCTGCCTGTTGATGAGATCTAAGAAGAAAGATCAATTCATAAGGAAAAAAGATTTGCATTGGGAAATGCTTCATATCATGTTTGATATCAAGAACTAGATGGATATGAAAAGAGTTTAAGCTCTTGCACTGCATCATTGTATAGTGGTATAGACCTACTAAGAGCAACTGTAGAAATTCTGTCTGATGTAAAACATGCAAGTATTTGTTTCTGAGGCTTGTTTGATTAGAGAATATAGGCTGGAATACTTGTCTTGTATGCCTGCCTGGACACTTTTCACTACGTTTTCATGTGTCTTCTATTGGCTTCTTTTCCATAGAGACCTGACCACTCTAAGTCACTTTCTGCTATTCCTCTAGGAGGTTGTCAGCCCTCAGACTGGGTGAACATAAAATTGACTGTGAAGACCCCATATATTCTCTTAGGGAATTGGAGCAGGTGGCACCCTTAGCCTTTGAGAAAAGCTATGAAAAACCTGAAAAAGAATATCAAAGTTTCTAACATCTACAGATTTGAAGATTTTGACCATAAGAAAATATTTTATCACTCCTGAATAAATTATATTGTGACATTAATATTGCTTTAAAACAAGACAAGCCTGTCCCTTTATGGCACTAACCTTTAATATCTGGCAGTTATCATTGACCACAAAAGATGCTGTGTCTAAGCAGTCCATGAAATATAAGTAAATGGAAGCCTGCCTTGGAGTGGAAATACTGGTTTTGCCGGCGGCTGTGGGTAGTTCCATCCCCAGATATGTTTGGCAGATACTGACCTGGAGCTTGCATCCAAACTGTGGATGGGCATATCTGCCATGGATTCATATCCTTATTCTATGGCTACATTAAAAAAAAAGTTGGAGACAGCATGTGATGGCTGTAAGTTCTAAGCTGAATGGTGCACTGGTGGGGGAAGACTTATTTTCAACTTCATTAGTGTCATAAACTGACCCTTGGATCTTATGTTTGAGAATCTGAGTAGTACGAAGGTGTACTGACTGTGGTAGTAGCTTTTTAGGGATTAGTAAGACTACAAGTGTAACACAAAAGGCATGCAGGAAATGATTAGTGAGAAGTGTTGTGATAAGTTTGTATGAAGATGCTACTCTAAAAGTAAAGTCTTGCCTTCCTACAGCTGTCTTTTCTGACAGTAGACTCAAAATTGGCAAAAATGATTACAAGTGGCACCAGACTACCTCTGCTATCTAGTGGAACCACCAATGAAGATGTCACAAAGGTACCTGGGAACAGAGTTGTGGGGATGAACAAGCATTATAAGCAGTCCCTATGGAAAAAGGAAAAGCAGCTCTTTCTAGACATTGACAGCTGTTCCCTGTAGAAGTAGTGTTAATCCTCAGTTGATTTCATTTACTTCCTGAAACAGCTTGAAGAGGTTTCTCTGAAGGGATGCTATAAATATCTATGTATTGTCTAGGAATGGCTTGTCTGATGGATTTACTTGTTACCTGCTGTGATGCAACTATTCCCTTCTGTACTCTGCTGCATAAAGATGACTCAGGGTTTTGCAAATAATAGGAATTTGGCGAGAGCAAGACTGAAAACTGGTGACAACATATGCTTGGGGGCAAATGTGCCCACTGGACTTAGAAGCTACAGAGACACTCAAAGATGACCTTTAATTTAGGCTAACACTGCAGAACTCATGTGGAGAGAGGGCTCCTCCATAAGGCATCTTGGGACAGTAGCCTTTGGGCTAAACTTAGTCTTTGTGAATACCAGCTTAGCTAAGGATTGAAACTCCAATGTAGGGACACAAAGGGAAGACTAATAGAGCCCAGTAGAAATTTTCTCATTATATTTTCATGGCCTTGAGTTAGGAGAACAGAAGTGCAGGTTGCCTGGGAGCTACCTCCTAGTGTGGTTCGGAGAGGTTATCTCAGGTCTAAGGAAGATCATTGAAATAGTGATGAATATGGGTAGGTTCTTGATGCCATGCTCAGGAGATAAAGCAAAATTGAAGTAACTTTGAGCAAGAAGTAGGAGTTCTTGGAGAAGTGAGTTCTTTGCTTTTTTTGTTGTTGTTTCATAAAATTATAGTATAAGTAGGAAAAGCCAGTGACATCCTTCAGTATTAGGACAACTTTAGGGGTAAGTGGTCTATGCAAATCTATTTAGTAGTGAACTTGTTAACTTTTCCTCTAGACACTTTGGGCATGTGTGGCTGTGCAGGAGGTGTTTGTCTCCAGGGACACTCTTGAAATCAGTCAGTTGGGACTACCAGAGTCTGGAGACAATGGTCTTCAATGAGATCCTGTGTACCCATGTGTTGTGCTGTTAGGGAAAGTTGATTATCCCAGTGTTGTTTCTGTTGTTGAATTGCTCCTAATACCACGGTGATGGGAGCATTATGAATGTCTATTTCTGCAGCCTGAACTTTGATATCTACCCAGCACCTTAAGAAAGGTCAAGGTTGCATAGCCAGTTGCTGCCTCTCTCCTGCACTAGTTTGGCTTCTGATTGCTTCTGTCTTAACTTGTGTTTGTAGTATGCAACAGAGGATGGACTTGTACACACAAATGATGCGGCCAGGACAGTGTCCAAAGAATGGATTTGCATTTAAAAGCCCCAGCAGTTAGACTTCCTTAGTGAAGGTAAGGTTAACAAACCCCAGGAGATAGGGTTTGTGGGTATCATAGTGTTTTATTCAGATAACCACCATACTCAACATAATTTGTCATTTGCTTCCCTGAGAAGGTGGCAACACTTCTGTGTCAGAATGTCACACTGCAATATGTAAAACCCTATGATAGCCATAATTTAAAGGATTTTTAACTATTCCAATCATCTTAAGGACTGCTGCTTTGCATGTTTCCCAGGGCTTCGAATGCATGCTACTTCAAGCTTTAATACCAGTTACTGAGAGCTTGTCAAAAGCTTTCCAGAGCCAGCTTTCTCCGTGGAGCAAAATGTGGAGATGATGTTACTCTCTAGCAATGCACTAGGACAGGGTGTTGGTTAGACAGAATGAGCCACTTTCCTAGGTAACCACAGAATTCGGTGTCTAAGCTTCACACTGATGTAAAATTGCAGCAATGAAGTAGTTTGTATAATGGCAGCTACTCTCTTGCTTTTGTGAGCTTTCTGATCAGGCCACTTCAACCTTTGAAGTTTGGTTTACTTGATCTTCTCTACAGAAACAGTCAAAGGGTAAAGTCACCCAGAAAGCATTTGTGCAGAAAAATGCAAGTTGAACTGTAAAGCAGTGTATTGATGGACCATGTGACTTAACATGTTGTAGTCTCAGAGGAAGATATAGAAATGTATTTGCAAAAAAATGCTTCAAAGACCTCTAGTCTTTGAAAAACTATATAGTCAAAGAAGTGATTAGATTTTTTTTTTTGCCCCTTTCTTTCCTCTATTCCTTTTTTCAGCTTCACCTCTGAAAAATGGCAACAAAACTGTTTGGTTTCTCTAATTCTTCTGCTTTTGACACAGACAACTTAGCCCAGGGTGTAATCTACTTCTGGTCAAAATCTTTACCTGCAGCATCACCTCACTGTCATCTGTTCCAAGTGTGCTACTTTTTGCATGTGTAAAAGTGACTATCTTAGCTCATTTTCTAACAAGCTGGCCTTTGGCTGGATTGATAAAGGTAAATCCTATCCCTGCTCTGACAGTCAGAGCCATAATTAGCTGCTTAGTAGACTCCTGGCCTAAACTATCACTTCCCATCCATTTATTGTGTTGCCATCCAGTGACTAGGTCAGGAAGTTGATCCAGCTGGAAAAATTCATGGGGTTTGTCTTTGTCTGTTTTCAGCCAGTTTACAGCTTAGCAGTGCTGGTACCTGAGTTGAGCCAGAGAAGGTAGAAGTGGCCAAAGCAGGCACTGAGAAATAGTAATGGCATTGCCATGTTGGATTTGATTGTAAAGCTTTACCTCCAAAGGTAAAAGGTCATGTAACAGTGAATTCTGGTATACTCTTAGTGAGGCACTCAACACTTGAGTAGAAAATGTCATTTAAACAGTGTGTGTAGGTGAAGACTAAAGCTTTTGGTTCTTGTATAAAAATTTCGTATTTAAGAAATCAATAAATTAATATTTGATTTTATCATGGTGTTCAGTGACCTGCACAACTCTTTCATGCAGATTCCTCTACCCTTTCTGATGTTTTGAACAAACAAAGGAGCCTAGATGGAGATTTTTATTATGTTTCCAGCTTTACCACTTCTCAAGCCAATTGTGCTCGAGAGAAACCACCAGAACTCTGGAAGTGACCAGATGGATCTGTTACTGTTTTCAAGTTCATGCACAATTTTCAGACATGTGCACACAGACCACTAAACCCTTCACTTAGAGCACAGGTGCTGAAATCATGCAAGTTCTTGAGGGCTTTTTCTTGATAAAGAAAGTATTAAGCTGCTCTTAACACAAAAGTAGTTTAACCTGAACCTACGAAGTCTGATCTTTCATTCTTTGAAATAGCAAAAAAGTATTTTTTATATAATTTTGCACACAGTTTAAAATTGTTCTTTTTAATTAAAGTGTTTTACAACCTCTAATTTTGCATTTGACATTTTAATAAAAAAATCTTGTATACATTTGTCTAATCTCAGCAAAAGAAGCCACTAAACTCTATATGCAGGCATATTTTGCACAGTGCAGAAATAATTAGGAATGTAAAATGGATTATCCAAGGGAAAAAAATGGTGTAACTTTGAAAAATATATGTGGGATGTTAAATGCTTTGTCTCTGATTCTTATCTTGTATGCTTTTCCTATGCACTCACTATTTATATTTTTAAGGGCTTACAGGAGTAGGCATTTTTAAGCTTTGATCACACAACATTCTCAGAAAATGAGAAATGCTGGTAACCTTTCTCTTTCTGGTCCTACTTTTATATTTCCACTTCATGTTCTCCCCACCTTTCTTGGTTTTTGACTGTCTTCTATGCAAGAAAAGTAATGTGACCTGTAGTTAAGATCCAGTGCCAGGTCTGCTTTGAGAGGGTCAGTCAGAGCTGGTAGTTTGAGCTTGGTCTCTCTGGACTATTGCAAGTAATTCAGCACCACAATTGTCACTCTTACCAAAGAAATCAGGTGCTGTACATGCTCTGAAATAACTGCTGTCTTTTACCAGCCCTGGATCTCCCTGCCTACCCTGGGACTGAACTTCAGGCATGGGATTAGATCACTGCACCTTTCCGTGGCATTTATAGTCCTCATTTGTGCTGATGAAAGGGAGAGGGAAACTCTGAACTAAAGACATGTATAAGGCTAAAAGTGGCAAATTCAATAGGTTCTTTGGCACATTCAAAATAAGTATTGCAGAACTGAGGAATACAAGCACTTTAGGTAGGTGGTGCTATAGGAGTTTTTAGTTAACATGAACCTAAATCCACACCAGTGCCTTGGTATCCCTGAAAATAAGTACAAGGGATGAAAGACTAAAAGAGAGTGATGAGGTGACAAAATAGAAAAAGTCTTCCAGAAAAGGCAAGTGAATCTCATTTCTAATATCTAATTTAAAAAACTCAACCTTCCCCCCCCTTTAATTCTTCCATGTTTTCACCCTTCTCTTTCCTCACTGCAACCTTCCCCTGCTCACTACAGCTACACTAATCTAGATTTACATTTTATCTTGAAAAACTTCATACTGTTACAGTCTAAAGTATTTGACAAGGTGGTTTTTTTTTAAATTACTGTTCTGTAAACGTGAGTACATTGAATGTGGTTAATTGATGCAAAATACTTTTAAATTATATTTCCAACTTTTCCTTCTGAGAAAATGGTTCTGCCTTTAATTATGTAGCACAATTACAAATTAGTAGTTATGTATAAAGAAAATTAGCCTATATAAGCCACTAGGGAAGTGCTGGGGGAATAGAATTTTTGCCTATTAACTGTGCAGGAATATCTCAAGTGTGCAAATAAAGACAGACAATGAGGGGATGGGAAGCAGTAGGCCAGAAAAGGTTTGGAAATATAAATCATAAACTGAATAAAAAAATCACTAAATGGTTTTACAAAAACAAACTTTGTGTTGGGTTGCACAAATGGGTTTTTTGTTTGGGATGCCTTTGTATTTTTTCAAGTTTTCTCTACAGTGTAACTGTAAAACTTCAGCAAAAACTTATAACCAACAATATGCTCAAAAACTGCAGAGTGACGGGAGGCAATGAGAAAACAGCTCCCCTAGGCCTGCTGAAGGCACTAGCATTGCTTAGTTTGGTGAAAGGAGCCTGGGGAGAGCTAGGGGAATAGAGTATTAAAAATGTGGCTATGAAAAGAGAAGGAATAAGTACTTGCCATTGTACAAGGGACCAGGAGTGAGGATGGAGTTAGAGGAAAGGTTTAAGGGTTCAGAACAAACCTTCTCCTACCAGCAGTAGTTAAATACTGATCTGAACTGCCTGGAGAGGCTGCAGTCTCCACCCTGGTAATCTTTTGGGACTGGTGGGCCAAGTACTTATCAGAAATGGTACTGGTGTAACTGGTCCCACTGTCAGGCACAGAGGTGGGCAACATGTCCTCTTCAGATGTTCATCTTTGTGATGATGCTGCTTTTTTTCTTAGGACCCTGACCTCAGATATTATAGTTAGTTGTACATTTTAGTCCCCAATTCAGATCATATATATTTTATTTTTCACAAGCTCTCTCATGTTTTAGGAGTTTTTTTTATTCTGTGTTTTCAGAACTGAATCCTTTATATTCCTTTTCAATATGTCTCTGTTTAAATTCATTACAACATTAAATATCATTTAACCTGAACCTGAATAGAATATTATTTCCCAGTTATAATGTGTATATGGTTTAAAAGAAAACCGGAACTGTTTCCTTCAAAAGGGGGAAATGTGTATGCTTTCTTTTTGCAAAATTAATTGGCAAATCTCACAGCTTTACTATCCCTTAATACCTCCATTATCTCAGTTAGGCAGGTTCTCAGCTGGAGGCAATTTTATTTGTTTAAGCAGGAAAGCTTGAGACTCCATCGGTAAAGATGAAAGTCCAATTCCACAATGTAACTTTCTTGATGTTAAGAGTATTGATTGAACTTGAGATGTGAATCTATTGCCATGTGTTTGAATGTGTAAAGAACTTAGAATATGAAGGTAACTGGAATTAACCTAAATAGGTGAAAATATATATTGTACTTCTATAAAGACTATATTTAAATTTATTGTGTTACATGGAGAAAGTTTTTCATTTTTTCTCTTTTTCTGTGCTCCCACCTCTGCCCTCTTCTGCTTTTCCCAGAGTCACCTCCTTTGCCTCTCTGGGGCTAGGATTAGAGTTGGGCTGTGCCCCTTACTGGGAGGGAAGGGGATGGAAGGGGACACAAAGCACCAGCCATCCTCTGCAAATGTCAAAGCGCTGCCCCAGGAGAGAGGATGATGAAGGGCAGGCATGGTCCACTCCCCAGCATTTTCCATCCAGACTATGTCCCTTTCTGGTGCTGTACTCAGGGAAGGAGCCTGTGTTTGCTGGGCTTATCACCCCCTTCAAACAACTGCTTATTTCAGCTTGTGCTCAGACAGGAATGGGTCAGCTTGTGGAGCCATACACCCTCCTTGTTTTGTTGTTTAATCGTTAATCCCTTGAATGGAGATGTAAACAACTGTGCTCACTTGTATC